TTGCCTACTTCAAATCACGTGTTCGCTTCTGACAACGGCACCAGGGATGAAAAAGTATACGTGTCTGAAAACCACTTTCCATATAAAATAGATCAACCACTCGGCGTCGACTTCAAAGACGAACTGATTATGGAAGAACAGCAAAAGAAAACGGAAGGGAGCACCATGTACGAGCCACGTCAGAACCAGCCACCGTATGTTTCGCAGATGCAGCCGATGATGCAGGAAGCTTACGGAGGCGGGCTTTACGGTAAGGACGACGAGAAAGAGGTAGATGCCAAGACTAAAGAGAAAGAGGCCAAGAATATAGAGAACGAGCCTCAACAGCATAACCAACCGGCCAGCGATACACAGAGCGCAGATGGGCCAGACGAGGTGAAGACGATGAAGCCAAAACACAAGCAACCACCTTCTTCCGGCGATAGAGACATTGACATCATTGGCCAGTCTTATATTCAATGATGACTCTTGTAGTGCTCTTTTGTTTGTGTTGTATTGTTCTTTAGAGTTTCTCTTTCTTTGTCTTTTACTAAACCTATTAAGTTAGAAAAGTACTATCGAAATTACCATATGATGATTAATCTAAATGAATCAGATATACAAAAACTTCAGAAGATATAAGTAACATTTGAAGAAAGAGCACTTGAACACAATTAAAAGACCTTTTTCTTAAGTACAAACTTATTTACTTATATAGACCAAAGTTGTAAGAGTTGCCACGTATTATTAACAGAGATTTGAAATTAGTTTACCAAAGCAAAATAACCATAAACCGAGAAGACAGTTTCTACAACATACTTTTTTCAAAATCCAAATCAACAACATTCCTTCAGCTCCCTTTTTGTTTCCTTTACTCAGCTCTTCCAATAAGCCTGGACCAGATTAAACAAGCAAATATCGATCAACTCCAACCAATATACCGATAAATGCAAAACGATGCGGAAATGAGCATTAATAAAGACTTGCCAGAGGTTCGTTGACAAAGTGACTATTGTCTAGCGCAAGTTACCATGAGAAATAAAAAACTACTGAATGGAATGTGTGAGAGCTTTACATTATTAGTGTTTTGAGTATCAATAGCAAACTACAATGGTCTCAAACAATAAGTCTTAAATGATGTAGTAGAAAACATTAGAGTTAACAGATGAACATAATAAACTTATTACAGTTATAAATCATGTTCCAGTAGACGTTCCATTACCACAAAAGATTGGCAATGACCAAGAGTCTTTTAACTGGAAGTTTAACTGGAAGAAGAATGAAAATAGGGACAGGCGGGAGGAAACTCTTATCAATCTAATTCTTTTTTCATCCATTCGTAATCAAAGTCGTTATTGCTCTAATATTATCTTTTGTTTATAATAAAGGAGCCAAACCACGCCTATCTATGCTTTGGATGTTGTGGAATAAAATCAAAATCTTAGGAAGCTGCGGGTTTTTAATAACGTTTGGCTTTGGACGATTCCAAACTTCAAAATAAAACTTCAGATTATGCTTATGTAGTGATTATAATCGATTTAGTAATTGAGATTGTTTTAGGAAAAATGACAGCTTGACTGAGATCGTGAGGTTTTTTTTTTTGCAAAGAACTGATTGAATTTTGTTCTTCCACTTTTATTGTTAAAAGCCTAAAACCTATGAGCGTGAGACGAACACATAATTAACTACAACCTCCGAATTTTGCCAAAATTTCAAGAAAATCTTAGCGGCTATGTCAAGAAACCTAGGATTTGGTATAAAGGTTTTCTTATTGCTTACGGTGCTAAGGCTTAGCCTTATATACAAGAAGATTAACCTAATACAAAAGATGTAAATTACCAAATATATATAAGTAAACAACTATTTGCATATATGACCCTATCTCCCGTAATACCCCTCCTCAAGTTGGAGTATGAAGGTCACAAATACCCAGCTTGGACCTGAATGCTTCGAACTCCTTCCGTCCAAGAGCTTTCGTAAAAATATCAGCAAGTTGTGCAGTAGTAGAAACATGTATAGTCGAGATAACACCTCGCACAATCTCATCCCGAATGAAATGGCAGTCAGCTTCAACATGTTTAGTACTTTCGTGAAACACCGTATTAGCACTCAAATGAATCGCAGACTGACTATCACAATACACAGGGATCGTATAAGTGCAGTCCACACCAAGGGTACCAAGAAGTTCGCGAAGCCACAAGACCTCACTTACAGTATCCGCGAGAGCCCGATATTCGGCCTCTGTCGAAGAACGGGAAACCACCTTATGTTTACGCGTAAGCCATGAGATAGGAGAGCTACCAAGCTGTATAAACCACCCAGTGAGAGAACGTCGAGACACGGGGCAACTAGCCCAGTCCGAGTCGCACCAAACCGCGAGGCGTAAGTCTGAGTCAGCACGAAGAAGAATGCCCTGACCGGGATTATTCTTTAAATACCGAACCACCCGCAACGCTGCATTCCAATGTTCAATCCGTGGAGCATGCATGAACTGAGACAAGATGTGGACAGCATAAGAGAGTTCCGGTCTGGTGACGCGAAGGTAAATAAGACGTCCAACCAATCTGCGATAAGGATGTGGATCAGCAAGAAGATCGCTAGTAGACAAAGCCAAAGTATGGTTCTGCTCGATGGGATGTGAAACTGGTTTAGCTCCAAGTAATCCCACCTCAGAAATGATGTCTAATGTGTATTTACGTTGACACAGATACATCCCTTGCGGTCCTCGTGCAACTTCTATGCCCAAGAAGTATTTCAGGACTCCCAAATCTTTCATCCGAAAGCATGAGCTGAGATACTCCTTAAACTCTCGAATCACTGCTGGTGTACTTCCCGAGACAATAAGGTCGTCGACATAAACAAGAACATGTATCCGAAAATCAGCAGTCTCAAACGTAAACAGAGAATAGTCTTTAAGGTCTTGAACAAACCCATACTCTTTAAGTGCTGATGAGAGTTTAGCAAACCAACACCGTGGTGCCTGTTTGAGACCGTACAACGATTTATGAAGTCGACAAACTTGAGTGCTGTCATTAGTACGAAAACCCGGAGGAAACCGAATAAACACCTCCTCGTCCAAATCACCATGTAAAAATGCGTTGTGAACGTCCATCTGATGGACTTCCCAATCACGTGAAACAGAAACCTCCAAAAATGAACGAACCATGGTCATCTTACAAACCGGAGCAAACGTTTCCTCGTAGTCAACGCCTTCGGTCTGATTATTGCCAAGTACAACAAGCCGCGCTTTATACCTCTCAATTGTTCCATCAGCCCGGTATTTAATAGTAAAGACCCATTTGCATCCTAAAGCCTTCTTACCAGGCGGTAATGACTCAACAGTCCAAGTCCCACTTTCCTCAAGAGCATCAATCTCAGTGCGAGCTGCACCACGCCACCGTTCATCTTCGACGCCTGTTGCCAGGTCTGAGGTATCTCACCTGCAGATATAGCAGCTAAAAATGCACGATGATGATCTGAAAACCGAGCACAATCCACATAGTCAGCAAGTGGATACCAAGAATCATCGACGAAATCACTATCAGACCCGAGATGAATCGTATTGGCCACAAAACCCTGAAGTCGCGTCGAAGGAATCTTAGTACGACACCCTCGACCCATAGGTTCGACCACCGGAGTTGGGTCACCATGATCATCATCATTGTCAGGTTCAGTGATCAACGACAAATCAGAACCAGGGGACGACGACGATGAAGCTTCCGGTGCAGGTATAGATGGAACCACTGCAGACATATCAGCTAATTCCAAAGCAGGTGGAGGGGACACAATAACAGTGTCCTGTTCCACAACAATCGGCGAAGGAGAAGATAACGAAGAAGGTAAAGTAAACACGTCATCATCATCACAAAACCATGACCCAGAACTCATTGCTGGAGGAAGAACCTCAAGAGACTCGGGGTTGGAGAAGGGAAATTCAGTCTCGACAAAGATAACATCACGGGACGTAGATATGATGCCACTCTCTAAATCATAGACTTTCCACCCTTTCTTCCCAAAAGGATATCCAAGAAAAACTGATCGATTTCCCCTTGTCGCGAATTTATCGCCACCATGACGTTGGTTATGGACATAACAAAGGCAACCAAATACTCTCAAATGGTTGAATGGGGGCAAGCAATCATAAAGGATTTCAAAAGGCGACTTGCCTTTAAGAACCGCCGACGGTGTGCGATTAATTAAGTAACCTGCGGTGAGGATACAGAAGCTCCAAAAATCAACTGGAAGCTTAGCCTGAAACCGAAGAGCACGAGCAACGTTAAGTATGTGACGATGCTTACGTTCTACTCTCCCGTTCTGTTGCGGTGTCCCAACACAAGACGTCTCATGGATAATGCCCTTGTCTCGAAAATGCGCAGATAAACTCAAAAACTCAGAGCCATTATCACTACGTATCGTTTTTACTTGTCGTTCGAATTGTCGTTCAACAAGAGAGATAAAGTTGCGAAGTGTAGTGGCAGTTTCAGTTTTATGGACAACAAATAAATCCAAAGTGCCCGGGAGTAGTCATCCACGATGGTGAGGAAATAGCGTGATCCACATAAAGATGTTGTCCGATAGGGACCCCATAAGTCGCAATGAACTAGTTCAAAAACAGATGAAGTTTTATTACTACTCAAAGGAAAAGGATCGCGCGTCTGCTTAGCACGAATACAAACATCGCAAGTCTTAAAATCAACACCAACATCACAACTAAAATCAGAAAACTTCAACATCTCCATCGCCGACGAGGATGGATGACCTAAGCGCTTATGCCACACATCCATGGACTGCTTCGCCGAGACTTATGTAAATTACCAAATATACATAAGTAAACAACTATTTGCATATATGACCCTATCTCCCGTAATAGGCTACCACATTTGTTAAGCCAAAGCATAAGTCAATTCTCGATAATTAGGCAACATCAAACAGAGAAGAACGAATTCTGTAATCAAAAGCAATCGAATGTGGATAAGCAAAACCAAAGAGGAAAAGACCGAAAGAGAGGAAAATAGCGAAACCTAATTATAGTAAAGCTCGAGACCCATCCCATCGTGAATCTCATAGTCCTTGAGAGTGATATGATCCTTATAGATGTTGTACCACTTCTGAATTCAAATTTTCTCGGCTCGCGTACCAGTTTGGGCCGCGACAAGCTTCTTCAGATCACCAATTGTGTCATCTTCGTTGCACTTAACCCTTACTTTCTTCCCCAGACGATCGTTGAGTACAACCTCGATCATCTTCGCTCTTTGTGGAAATTAGAAACCCTATCCCTCAATTTCGAAGCGCAAAAGAAAAAAGTAAAAATCCTGAGGGATCAATGAAACACCTTTTTTTTTTTTACACTGATCTATTATTATTATATTACAAATTATGAGAACTATTACACAAGTTTCTCGCCTGCAAACACGCCAAACGGATCTCCATGCACCATGTTGAAAACCTCCTGTAAGCTTGTTCCATTAATCTGGGACTCAAAACTCAGAACTCTTGGTGTAGAAGCATTAATGAACCCATTAACCAGTAGGCTAAGGGGCTTCCACAGATCAATGAAACTTTTGATTTAAATATGAGAATGTTACCATACTTTTTGAAAGTATAATCGTCAAAAAAAAATAATGAACTTATCTTATTTTGTTTTCCATTTTTTTATTTTTTTCTTTTTTTCTTTTTTATTTTCCATTTTTTTACTTTATATTTATATTATTACATCCATCTATAATGTACACATAGATATACATATATATTTATATAATTATGTCTATATATATGTAATTATATAAATACAAATATAAATATACAAATGTATCTATACAGTTACATCTATCTATACTCTATGTACGTAGATATACATATATATCTACATAATTGCATAGATTTCCATATATTTGTGTTCACGTGTAGAATACTATATAGATACGTATGTATACATATATATATATATATCTATATAATTGCATAGATATTCATATATTTGTGTCGACGTGGACGCTACTATATAGATACATATGTGTTTATCACTAAACAATAAAATAATTTAAGTTAAAAAATAAAAAATGGGTATCAAAGTATTAAAAACAAAATTATATAATATTTAGTGTCAAAATAATTATTCGATTATTTTCTAAATAATATATAAATAACAACAAACATTATAAGGGATGTGTGAGGAAAAGAGGAAAAGAGGCAAAATAGTTAAAACAGTCATTTGTCTCAACCGAACAGAAGAAAAGTATGTCGTTTGGTAATTAAAACTTAAAAGTACCTGTTTTGTACATTAGAAACTTAAAAATACACCTAATGGTAACACACTCTTTAAATATAGAAAACTAGAGACGGACGACAAAAAAAAATATCTATGCTATTATTTGAAAAAATATCTGTGTCATTACAGCGATTGTCTTGCCTGACAGTAAAAAAAAATATTGTATATGTTATTTTAGTTTGTTTTGATAAGTTTAATCATTAATCCTACGTGTACAAATCCGTGACAGAGATTGTTTTTCGATAATGGGCCAGCGAGTTTATTCATGGCCAGCAATTTTGTTCTCGGTCATAGCCATCGATTTTGGTAATGAGGCACCGACGTCGAAACCCTAAAGCATATATCCTACTATATACCGGATCGCCTACATATTTTTTTTATATACAACAACCGTCTTCTAAAATCTAGCAACTTTTACAAAACTCGTCCACCTCTTTTTCACGAATACATCTTTTGTATATTCCGATCTGGTTTAAATTATATCATTTGTTGATTGTTCTTCCATGCTAATATTTTAATCGGTCAAATATCTATGTTTTTTCTGTATCGTGTTCTATATTATGATGCATCATAGCTATCTTATTTTTTAACTCCTGTGTTTACTCCCTATGAGATTAGTCATCGAGATATCATATTTGTGTTTTTTGTTTTGCTTTGTAATTCTATATATAAAATTCGTTGCTCCGTATTAGATATTCGTGTTCCTTTTTTATTAAGTTTTTCCTATTGATATATTTGAGTTATTGTTTGTAAATATAGATTGACCTGAGCTTCTTTATTGTTTTCCTTGAACCTAGAGTTCATCCCGCAAACTATAGGTGATTGGTTCCAATCTTTGCAATCATATCTTCAAATGGATCTAACAGGTAATTGCAAATAAATCATTAGTACTTTTTTTATTGGTTAACAAATCATTTGAACTTCTAATTTTCTTAATTGATATTCATAAACTCTCCAATTTATTATTTTGATATTTTTAGACGGATCAAAACCATAGAAATGGTTTTTTTTTTGTCTGTATAATTCATATTTTAGTTTAGGTTTGTATTAATTTGTTCTGGCAACATATTTGTGAATGAATATTATTTATTGTTTGATTGTTGTTTATTTCTCTTTAGGTTCTACTATATATATTTTTATATTGTTTTTTATGTTTATTTTTATTTCTAAATATAATTTTATGGTTTATTTTAGTGGTAGCTTGTGTGGACATGGATTTTTAAGCAAAAAATAATAAAAAAAAAAGTAACAGTTCGGATTAGTTTTGGTTCCATAGTTTACTAAAGATATGTAACATGAACAAAACAAGGTCTATTGTTTTACAATTTTCTTATTATTTTCTGCCCAAAGGCAATTATGTTGTTTCTGAAAAAATAATTTTATAGTTTTGTTTTTTACCCAACACATTATTTTATCAGAAAACATTAAATTATTCTCAAGACTAAACTTGTCAGGCATTAAAGCAATATCTTTGTTGGTAAGTTGATGCACATGAATGTGATGTCTCATAACTTCAAATAACAAAAGAAAAGCAGGTGACAACGAGACTAGATTCGGTGTGACTAGAATCTTTACGCATGCATGTCAAGTTCTTGTGTTGATATACAACAATCCTATTCAGTACAGAGGGCAAACCAATTGCAAATGGAACCATCCAATTGGTGTTGAATTATATTATGCTTAATCCTTGAACCACTTCTTAGTTTGTTAATGAACTCATCGATTTATTTTTACCTCTGATGAGAGATAAAACCAGCAGAAGGAAGGAGAGTCATCAATACAGAGAAAGAAGAATGTTTGCTAGAGACATATTCGGGTCATAATTTTCATCATCTTTTTAATTTGTTTCATATTGTTTGAACTATATTTTTAGTTTCAGCCTTCATCGGAGTACCGATACTGAAATTCTTGTGAATTGAAGAATGCACATACTTACACGTTGCACTTCGCATATGTTTTGATGTGTAACAAGTAATTCTTGTGTCGTAGAACTCTGTTGCTTTAAGAATTTAGTTTTTGAATTAAATTTATCCTAAAACAGTCGATTGAAAAGCATTGATAGAAGAAAATTTGAAGAGAAAGAAGAAAAATGCATTGAAATGGGATAAAGAAGAAGAATACAAGTAAAACCCAGAAAAAGAAGAAAAAGGTCGGGTGTGTGAGTCGAAACTCGCACATTCAAGATTTGTCAAAGAAAAAGAGGGATCTAAAGCTTCTAAGTGAAAATCTCAAGAACAAAGATCAAAAAGTAGTTTTATTGCTTAGGGTTTTTGCGATTGCGTAAAAAGTTCTATAATGAGAGAATTACATCGACTATTTATACTAAGTATACAAACCACCTAGCCGAGATTCTCTCCTGAGATTCTCGGAAATTTTCCTTTTCTTTTGTGCGGCTGAAGACTTCAATCTCTCTTAGGGTAAATATCTTGGACTCGTCCATCGGGCCTTTACGATTATCCATATCGGCCCATCGATACTTTCGGCCTTCCGGCTCGGCCCAGTCTCTTCCTTCAGCCCAATACACTTTCGTTTACGGGATTACTCTTTGGCTCGGGTACGCAGGGATTCTCTCGAACCGGAATGGTTCAGCTTGATTTCCTGGTTCTTCATGTGTTTTAGCTCGGTAAAGCCGAGATTTACCTCAATTTAGCTCGGCTCAAGATGACATTTGGTTCGGTTCGGGGTGATGCTTGGTTCAGCTTGGTCCGAGACGATGTCTGGTTTGGCTCGGTTTTATTGGGTCGGTTGCGTTCTGGTTCGATTCTTCTTCCAATAAATCGTAGAATTGGGTCTGTCGAAACCCAATTTCGACACTTAGGGCTTGACTGGTTTAACCGCAACGGTTGCGGTTGCGAGTGCGGGAGTTTGCGGAAGCGGACGATTGCGGTTTTGAGCGTTATTGATAACTAAGGTTTTTAGGGCCTTAATAAGGGTTATCAATCCCTTATGTCACTTGTAGTAGAAAGGGTGTCAATCCATATGTGTGGTAGTTAGGCACTAGTTTATGTGATAAGCTCTTAAGTCAAGTGATCAAAGATGAGTTTTGGTGTGAACAAAGTAACAAGAAAGCATAAACAAGGAACAAACAAGCAATGATTAATGAACTAAACAAAGCAAGCAAGCTCAACAAGAATGTGGTGATTAAGCAAATGATAAAAGCTAAACCTCTAGATGTGATCATTGATTAGGGTGCTGTAGATATCAATTCATGATGCTAAGAACAATAATGCAATGCAAGTTACTCTTTAGTCTAGACTTCAAAAGCAGATTAATTCATTCCCATGACAATAATCCCTTTGCTAATCACTTAATCAAGTCTAACAACCATTAGTAATAATCAAGCAATCAACAAGCATAATGCATCAAGCCTAATAAGTGACCAAACAATCTCTCAACCAAGAAGACTGAATCTTACACAGAAAGACATAGCAAGCAATCACATGATCTCAAAACATTTCAACTTAGAACTCTAATCTAGACTAATCCTCTCATGAAGGCATTAATCTCTACACTAATCCACTTTCAAACCAAATCATCATTTGTGAAATATGAATCAATGAGCATTAAGGAACAGTTCTAATATGTCATTCATGCATTTAACAAATCATTCCCATGATGAAAAATGCATAAACCCTTAAGTTAGCTCATTCAGGCATTTCATCAAACACCTTGTGGGTGGAGAAATGCCTAAGTTCTAGATCAAGCTTATAATGAGAGATCTAGCATTAAGAGCAGCTAACTAAGGAAATGAAATGAGAATCTAGACCCTAAACATCACAAATCAAACATCTAAGCACCCTAATCTAGACACCTAGAAGCTTAAAAGATGACTACTCACTAATCATGAAGAACACATCTAATCTCTTGCATGAGATGATGTTAATCATGATTAGAAGCAGAAATGAGATGATGAGATGATAAGAAACAGACTTAAATTGATTAAATCTTTCAGATATATCTTAACAAACTCATTTT